ATATTGCACAAGATTAATTTGTGTATCATCATATTTCATTCAGACATTAGTTCTTATTTTTGACGTGTTTTGTTCTGATTTGGTCATAATCTTCAATAGAATATACAAGAACCCTATAGATATACACACACACCACAGATATGGCACTTCCAATTGAGTAGTCAAAAATTTTACTCTCAACTATTGCGTGGTCTGCCTTCCAAGCTCTTAATGCCTTCATCGTGACATCCAACCGTTGTTCATTCGTAGTATCTCTCATACTTGTGGCTCTTTCCAAACCCCCCCCCCCCTTTCTCTCTCTCTCTCTCTCTCTCTCTCTCTCTCACACACACACACACACACAAGGTCCATCAATCTAAGTTCCTTCTTGTTTCAGACTGACTTTTTCCTGCTTCCTATCCCTCCATACTTCTTCTAGACTTCTAGGTACAACCCTATCTTCTCAGTCATAATTCTCAGCTTCCTCTTCTTTGAAGTTTAACGTCTTCCTTTTTAGTTTCCTCTTTTCTTTTAGTTTAATTTCTATTTTTGCTGCTTATTCCGAGTTCTAAACTTCTTTCTGTTGATACTTGACAGGTATAACTATGGTGATGATGGGTTTCGAAAGGTTGGTGGTAACTCTGAAGTCTAAATTGAGGACTCTGACTCTGAGAACGAAGAAACCTTACGACAAGATCGAAAAGAGTGAGAGCATGAGAGTAGAAATAAGAAGCAGGAAGGCTCAGAAGCTGATCGAAGAGACTCTCAAAGTTGCAGACTCCCCGAAGACCAAAAGTTATGCTTTCTGAGTTTTTTTTCTACACTCTGAAATATAATGTTTATTGGGTATGTTCATGTTCCACCACCATGGCTTCCAACACTTGTTAAAGGGTCATCTCTCTCTCTCTCTCTCTCTCTCTCATATGAAGCTGTTAAATCAGAATTCCGAAATGTATGGTGTATGTTTTTCCGAGTTTTGTCTTTGCAGTGGTGAGAAAAAAATGTTCTTTTTTGTAAGTCGATGAAAATTCCGAAGGGGTGTATAAAGCGATAATAGATACGAGTGTATATTTAGACATTTTAAATTCAAAACTTGGTAATCCATTAAGGTCAAACTATAAGGGAATAATTCCTCATAAAAATCCTAGTACTAGTGTAGATAGTCTCTCTTTGACCAGACCGATGAGAGAATTAGTCGAAATGCACGTAAATTGTCTCGAACAATCTATACCACTAAACAGGAAAAAAAAAAACAGGCATGAAGATGTGAGTAACTTCTGATGGTTTTTATGTACCTAGGAACAAGCCAAATAACTCATCTATCAATTAGCTCTATTTTCGGCATGAGTAAATTCAGTTTGAGATTCAAAGTCTTTTATGGACTGAAAATATGTAAGAATTTCCCATATAAATCAATATATCCGTCTATAATATTATAGGAATCAGATTTGATGACGAGTGTTTGAGAAGCCTTCCCTCTCTCTTTCTTTAGTCAATGAGTTTTTGATTTTTTAAGTAAAACTAATATATTCCAACAATTTACATTCTACAACAGTTCAAAACAAATTACATCCAACAAAGTATCCTAAATTACTAGCCAAAAACACCTTTGCAAAGTGTCCCAAATAACTATCCTAAATTGACTCAAATTTTAGTATATAAAAGACTTTTAATAGACTCGAATTTTCATACGTAAAAAAAATAAAATTTAATCAACTCGAGTCAAATTTTAATCGACTGAAATTTTAATATATAAAAAAAAAAAAATTAGTCAACTCGAATTTTAGTATGTAGAAAAATGGATTTTAATTAAAAAAATTATTTAGAGTTTATGTAGGCGCAATTTTGGTATTTCAGATAATTTATTTTTATAGTAAATGATGATTTAATGGCAGGGAGTGTCAATGATGTTTAAATATAAACTAAGAGGGGTGTCAGTGATTATTTTTATAAGAGAGTGGGTGTCCTTAAAGATATGATAAACTAGAAAGGATGTGATTGAAATTTTTCCATGTTTAATCGATTATTACCAACCTAATAAAGTAATAATCCATCCACACAATCTATCTAATTTGTTATATTGACCGAGTTCTATTTTCTTCACAAATAAAAAGCTACATACAAGAAGGGTCATATAATGCATTCAAAGTGGCTTCAATGTGGTCATCTTTCCATTATAAGGATTGGTCGGACCTGATACTTTGGATTTGAATATGATGAGTCAGGAAAAACAGAAAAAGACAAGAGGAACACACCAAAAAAAAAAAAAAGGGACAACAACTTGGGTGTTTGGGATGGAAAGGTAAAAAAGGTGAAGCAGTATGAGGCTGATCAGAGAGCTTAAAGTTGGAGACGATGTGGATGTTATTTGGCATGAGTATCTTGACACTGAGGTAAAATAGAATTACTTTACTTTACAAAATGAAGTCCACAAAATCAAATCCCATGGGTAGTCGAGCAAAGACAACTCCTTTGAGTCAAACCACGAAGAATTTATCGCTCGTGAATTCTCTAATCCAGATGTAGTTGGTATGTCTTTGACTGAACCGGAGAAAAAATTATTTAAGGTGCACGTAAACTAGTCCGGAACCTCTCTCGCAGCAATACCAAGAAAAGAAGGTCCAAAAAATATATTCATTGCATATTTTAGTTCACGAGTTAGTTTTAAAATTTGATGTACATCTAAGCAGCTTCACCTAATGAACCTGCTTTTGGACATGGAAATCAGTTACTTCTACCTAATAAAGGTGCTATGAATCTTTACGCATATGTAATATAACTGAAAAAAATAATGTCAAGTTGGGCTACAATTCTTAACACACTCAGTACCAAATCAATACAATGTTATTAGGTGTGTCAATCAAGTTATAACTACTAAATTGTCTTACTAGACCCGGTCCCACTTAACTAAAGGATGGACTCAAATTTACAATACACAATAAAAATTCAAATTGTAGGACCTACGACTTAAATACAACATAAATATAACTATACACACTTAAAATTGCATCCATTTGCAATACACACGACACAAGTGTAATTTTAATCGTAATTAGTGTTGGCATTTATGAGAAATTTTTATAAGTTCAGCTACGCTTCTTCCTTTTTTAATCTTTTTCCTCCTATTTTCTTCACTTAAAAATTGGTTATGTATCTTTCAATTTGGTCCAGTTTGAATTCACTCTCTACTCTACTCACCTAAGTTGAGTAAGTCCGGTGTCACATAATGTGTATTTATCTTTCAATAGGACTTCCTTAATGTGTATTTAATGATGGGGTTTTCGATGGCCGGTACAATGTTTTAATGCTTTGAGTCAATATGCCTGTACACCAACTTATTGGGTCATTAAAGATAAGCATCTATACTAATAAAATAGAACCAATTTTAAATTTATTTTTATTTTAAAATTTAATTTACTTTTAATTCGTTTGAAAAAGTATAAGGACAGCTTAGATTAATCCACATGAACTCAAAATTGATCCGACGTTCCACAAACACCCAATCCAATTCCTTTTCCCGCCCGCCCACCACACTTCTCTCAAAAGCTGGACCACATCCACACACACACACACGCGCCACTGACACACCCACCCCCACAGCCACAAATGCACGCCATTAAAAACATCTCAAAAAGAGTTATTTAAAATAGATATTCAAAATATATTTAAATATTATATTATTTATTTTAATTAATTATTTTTTCAAACTCACTCTAACAACGTTATCTATTTTAATTAATCATTCTAATTAACTTTCAATAATAAAATCTAAAATACTATTTAGTATATTATGTCATCACCATATTGATAAAATCACATACTAATGTGTTACGCCACGTCATCAAAATTTTAAATTTTAAATTTTTATTAATAATGATCATATTTATAACGGTCACAAAATTTAAAATTTTAAAATTTAAATTTTTGAACAGTCATATTTACAACAGTTATAAGATGAGACAAGTGCATACAATCAAAAGGAGGCGGAGGCGAGGAGGGAGAGATTGGCGCCAACAAGCGATTTACTGGCTAACTACATTTATGGAGTAAAAATAGAATTATCTATTTTAGATAGCCTTTTAGCCAGTATTCAATGAATCAGACACAATTTTAGCAATAAAATTTGCGTTTCCAACTCAAGGTCAAAATAAAAAAATAAAAAACAAAAGATATATTGGATCTGCTTACTAAATATTACATGTCAGGTGTCCTTAATGACGTAATAAATTCGCGCATGTACTTATCGGTAAAACAAATTGCTATATTATTGTTATATTTATCAATACATAAATTAAAATGGGTCTTACTGGGCTTGGTCAGAATACAACATGGACTTGCTTATTACCATTCCCACACATGCTAAAGCATAGATTTACTTGCGAATTTTGACAGGAGCAATACAATCTTGATTTAAAATACTGACCTAATCAATCACTGTCATTGAATTGATTGTGAGTATCAGGGGAAGCGGCTGGCTACAGATCCTAAGCCCAACTTGTAGCAAGCCAAAAAGTGTGTGATTTGAGCCTACTTTGCTAAGAGAAGAAAGAGAAAGAAAAGATAGACGACAGCAAAAAAGGCCTTTCAACTGTGGAGTTGAACACAACACTGACTTCGGCCAGGTTGTTTCATCAATCTCCTAGCTCTTGCTTAACTCCTTGTTTCATAAACCGATCATTGGATGAACTAAAAAAATTTCTCATGTTCCTAACTAATGGAAAATTTAACAAATAACAAAATGGACCCACTTAACCAACACGGAAAAGTAATTATGGAGAGCGGTGATACAAAGGTTCTAAACATTGGATTAAATGAGAGAGAACAAACAAGATCAAAACATACTGGCTAAAATTGTAGTGGTCACTTTCCCAAAATGATCAAGGTGAAAAGACAATATCAAGCTCAGTTTATATGAGAGTCAAATGGATCAAATCCATACAATCAGCATTTTATTTGAACAGGAATGCTATGCAAGCGAATAATTAAGATTGCTAACATACCAGTAAGAATAATTTAGTCAGTTAAAACCAGCGGACATGATGGTAAAGCACTTGGAGATCCTTGCAATGAGCACATATCCATGGAAACAATGGAGGATCCAAGCAGTAGGAATGAACACATCGACTCTGGCAGAGATGGCATCTAATGAGAAGATCCTGAGGCTCCCGACAAGAGCACTGACAGCAGACTGGTGCTAATGATTGCTATAATACCCCCAAAAGATGAAACAAAGTAGAGTTAGTAATGTGAACCACCAAAACAACAGATACTTTCCACTGGACAAATGGACAGGTTTTTTCAAAAGTAATGTCAACAATATACCTGAAGCAACTTAATCAGCATGTAAACATACCTGTGGACCAAGAGTGGATTCCCCATTGGGAAGAAGGTATACATCAATGTTTAATGAGTCATGCGGAATAGTTTGCGAATATATTTTTTGATCAGAAGAGACTGCATCATCAACCTTTGTAATTCTCGCAAAACTGGCCTTGCACAATGGACATGTCGAAATCTTTCGCCTTGAAGCCTGTAAAAAACATAAACTTACTTATGATTACACATGCAACACTTCAAAAATGGAGAAGGGTAGCAAATGTTAGAGACCTATACCACACTTTATCAAACATCAATTCAATTATGAGAATTAGGTATTCCACAGCAGAATCAAAATCATAGCCAAAATTATATCCGTTCTGACACCTAAATTTGTTTTTGCTGTCGTAGTAAACCCAGAATGTTTGAGGTTGTGTTGTTCACTGGTGTACTATACAAGTCGATGAAATAAAAACAAAGGATGCAAAAACATTCCGTTCTGTTATATTGCTGTTTACGTAGGGTGATGAGTACCAATTTAAAGGCATGCTTCTTTTCATTCAAACAATACCTTGAAACAACTCAAGTCATGAATGTTTACTAGAGGTGGTTTCTGTAGTTATATGAAAAAAACAAAAAGGTCAATTCCTTCACCTTGCCACATAGCTTTAAATTAACAAACTTCCTTCCATTGTACCTTTACCTTCATGATCTAGAAGTTTTCTGAATTCGAATTTCAAATGTAAGCTGAAAACGCAGTCACAGCAAAAGATTGTAATCTATCACTGATTTCAATCTGAATGTCCGCTATCGAGCATTGTCCTCTTAGCAAACTCAGAAGTCAAATTACTTTTTAACATATTTAAAATTAACAGGAAATTGATATGTCCTCTGCTCTACATTTCATATCATTAAAGTTGATGGTGCATATATATCTATGAAAATGTTGATTCTAAATTAAGGGAGTGCTCATCATGTGCAGATAGAATTAAAGTGTTCACAACCCCTAATCATGGGTGATAAAACAATGGCCGTCACAGTTAAAAGCATAAGATTTTTTAGGATACACTAATTCCGACAAACAAGTTGCTGATAAAAATGTTGACTCGCATAATAAGATACCTGAAGATAAATACCATGCATTCTTTTGCCAATAATATGAAGCTTCAGTGAGCAGAAAGATGGGAAAATATAAAATACAAAGACAGAAATATACCATATGATCAGCCCAGCTTTGGATGCACGAAAAACAAAATCGATGCCCACATGGTAGAACCCCCCTAGTTGAACTGAAATCTGTCCAGCATATAACACATGATAACTCTGTCGATGTAGACAATCTAGTAATATGTCCGATGTCATTTATGTCGTCATCGACAATGGAACAATGTTCTTCTGGAGTTCTAACCAGGGAAGACAAAGAACCCGCAATACCTAAACTTGAATCTTCGAAAGCAAGAATGCCATTCAAATTTGTAAACTCTTCAACCACTCCCATTCCCTCTATTCTGTTTGCCTCGTGATTATAACACCTACTATCAGACTCTTCCCTGACCCTCGATATACTTTCATTCCTCCCACCATCAGAATTCTCAGATGGAACTTCAATCTCATTCTGCTGGTGACGAAATGGTTTTGGGTGGCACTCTTGCTCAGAATCTGAAAAAGACTTCAAAATATCCCTAGTTGTGCTCCTTTTCACCAGCCTACGGCTTTTGCGAGAAGGTTCAGCTGAAGGAGTGATGCTCCTCTTCTGTCCCATCAAACATGTAGAGGAAGAAATTCTTCAGACAATTTAACAGGAAAGGACAGGAAAAATTTTCAATTGCAACAAGAAATGTTAAATGCAGCATAGGCCCTGACAGAACCAAATACTGAATATGCAAAATTTCTTAAGAGGGGGGACGGTGGAGCTTTTTGCAAACTGTAAAAATGAACTCAAAGAACAAACATTAACACAGCCATAGGACATCAGGGAAGAAATGGATGAGCTAGGGAAACATTAGTCTAAAAAAATAGAAACAAATAGACCACAGCAGAAAACTAGTGGCAAATATTTTCTAGGGTTTTTTTGGTCACAACAAATAAAACATCCAAACCCCAGAAATTGTTTCGATGAAAAGGACCAATAGGGCTTCAAGCTAATGAAGTCTTTCTTTAACTTAAAGCATGTATGTGCCTTTTAGAAAATGAGATAACAAAAGAATTTCAAGGATGCATAACTTATTGATAACTGAAATTCCCTGTAATCCAATAGCTGAACTCCAGTTGGAAAACAGTAGCACAATGAGCTGCAAGATGAAGAAACTTCTGAAACATTGTAGATTTATATCCTAGGCCCTAAGTAGCATGTGAAAAAGATCCAATTGGAATGGGTCTATGGCCTCTTTGGATTCTTTGGATTTATGAGAGAAAGCTCGCTGGAGAAAAAAGTTTTTCTCTTCCCCTCCCAGGTCATACTCTGGGCATCCACAGAAAAGAAAATCGCAATGCATTTTGTTCAGCAGGTGTAGCTCACATAAGATCAACATGCAGTGGGTGCTCAACACAATTAGGCCTACCAATAACCACTTAAGACATTATTATTATGTTATCCAGCAAAGGTGTTTGCCCAACCTTTATTACACAAAGTTTGGAACGTCCCACTAGACCACTGATGACTTTTTTCAGGAGAACAGCTGAGTAAGGGTCATATCATCAATAAGCACAAAAAACTTAGACATAGCCTAGTCCAATACAAAAGGTGACTTTTACACTCTAAACTTGAACAGAGAGAAAAGCCAACAGCATATCTCTATGATGGTCCTTGTGGCCTCTAGTCTATCTGCCAAAAGTTACAGTCCACTTCAGTAAATCACACAATAGAGGCCACAAAAGAGTTGTCATGTAGTACTTCTCCCTACTATACACATAGACAACAGAACCTGGCAAAAGATGTATCTAAAAAGTTTCATGGTTCTTCTGTTCCCTGTACACCAATATCCAATAGAACGTTTCCACTGTTGAATCTATAAATTTTCAAGTGACCACAGTACTTTATGCTTTCGAACCTATTTCTTGAATCAATGCAAAAGAATAAGAGATGGAGGTATTTCCAGGAATTTGGAAACAACATCAGCTCTAAATCGAAAATCTAAACCTCACCAAGTGCTGTTCCTTGCCCATCCATAATTCAAAACTTAGAAATAGTTGGATGCAATTCATCACACAATATCAACATCTTTGACTTAGCACATCCCGCATAATGTAATGAAATTACTAACCCACAAGGCATCTACCTCTACAAGCACAAAAAATTGCGGCTAATCCAAAAGGTATGAAATTCCCATGCCTCACTGGAGTATATCAGTTTTGATATATGCATAGATGACCCAATAAACTAGGATGGAGAAGATAACACCCAACATTGCCGGACAGAGAGCCAGCATTTTAGTAGGCAAAAAAGCACTCAACACAAAGAAGCCTTTCATTCCACACTTTTGCTACGACAACACCTCCTGGGGGGACAGATGGTAACATAAGAAAAAGTAACAAGAAAAATGGGAACCCATCTAAACGAAGCCAGAAAACAATTCCCATTTCCCATCCTTCGGCATCAAATCAGCTTCAAAAAAATATATGGGGAAAGAGAAGTATCTCTTCACATTTATTTCTAAGAAATTTGGTTGTTACCTTATTTAACAAACTAGAATCAATCCAATCAGCATGGTCAATCTCTTCACAGTCAATGTCTATCACAGGTTCTTTAAACTTGACGCATACATTGGATTGCCGATGCAAAAGCCTTGCTTTAGCAGCAACAAGTGGAATATCCAACAGTAAGGGCCCAACTTCCTGCCCGCTGCAAAAGAATCAAAATTCAAAAAACTACACAACCAATCACACAGAATTTACCAAGCTGTTATTAACCCAACAAAAAGATATACATATTCAACCCATCACAGATGTTCACACCTTATCTTACAAAGCTAAATTGCGTTTGTGCGACCAGATAAAGGCCAGGTCTCCGAGATGTATTGTTATTCATTAATTAATTTCTTCTAATTGAAACTACACATAGATCTCACCAACCACAAAGTCTTACACTAAGAAAACCAGCATGCTTGTACATGAAAGCCTGTAAACAAATATCCATATTTCCAATTCATCATACCATCGGGAAAGATATGGATGCTCTGGTACACGTCTTCCTTCTTTTATACAATCTTCAACCCATCGATGGTTAACTATAACCATCTTGAACTTCCTCGCAAGCTCGTATTTCCTCCCGTTAAATTTCCAACAAACCTAATCATTAATCAATTCGAAACATCACTCACTCAATAAAAGATAAATATAAAATCAACAACCTCCAAACAAACAAACGACTTCGGATTACCAAAAACACACCAAATGTGTCGTGGATTGATTCATAGCACCGACATAGCTTGCGCCAGTATGAGATATCAGTTTGATGAGCTTGAACCGCTCGGATCCGTGGTATCCACTGACTGTGGCTACAACCGATTCCATGCCTTTGAGGGAGAAACGTCCGGCCCCTGTACGTTCAAAAGATTATTAGCTTTTCAATTAGGGAAACCCAAATTTAGATTATTATCGATTCATTTGAGTGCATTCGCTGAAAAAAAAATCTGTCTGTATTAAACGCCCACACACACACACATACACATATATATATATTTATATATATACACAGAGAGAGAGAGAGAGTTGACCTTTGCATTGCTGTCGTAGCGAATCGTCTTCCATGAAAGCTGTGTGTACAGACCTATGCCGGGAAAGTGAAAATTTTGAATTGTTGCTGATTGACAGTGGCTCAGGGGCCAGGGCTTTACACTTTACATGCGCACGGGTCGGGTCAAAATAACAATTTCTTAATGGTGTATTTACAACCAAGCCCCTGATGTTTGTCAATCAACAGGAGGTCCTTGAGTATGAAATATAATACTAACCCTCTTCTTTTTGGATACTATACCAAAAATTTTAAAAATAAAGAAGAATTTATAATTTAATCTAATAAGAATAGATTATTATAGAGCAGTCTTAATATTTTTGAGATTAATTCTGACTTTTGTAATCATAATTTATTTTAATTAAATTATAATTTAATCTCCGTGTTAAAAAAAATGCTTGTAACTCAATTAAGTGCAGAAAAAGACAATATTATATTTATAATTGAATCCGATACTTCATAGACTCTCCCATTGAGGGGCTGGGCCAAGATTAATTACGATAAAGCCTATTCTAGGGAGAATAGGAATGTATCATATATAATAATGGGACACAACCACGAGGGACGATTGATTAATGGAGCTTCTGTAGGGATTATTGTATCCTCACCATTAGTCGTTGAAGCATGCCCAATGAGAAGAGCCTGTAGACTAGAAGAGGATGAAGGTTATTAGGCACCAACAGGATATATGATAATATGCAATGCAATTATCCAATGTTAGATACAGATTTATAAATAGATCCTGTAATTCAGTAGCACACACACTGGTTATGCAATTCAAACTAGGCAGTAGGCACTCTTCCGCCCCTATTGGATTACATCAACTCCAAAGCAAGTTATGCAAATCATACTCAAAGAGATTAGGATAGAAATAAGGTGATTTTACTCTGTAAAAAACAGGGGTTTTTTCTTGTTTTGATTGAATGAAAATGTATATTTTGGCATCAAACTCAGTTTCGAATCTCACCCTATCAATAAGACCTTATAGGAAGAAGCAACTGAATTCCTGAAAAATCAAATGGTGGGGTTATTTCCATCTTTTAAATTTCATTTCCCACTCCATTTAATTATTTTACTTCAAACTACTAAGTCTATTTCATCTATATCCACCTCATTAATGACTAAATTCATCTCATTTATCTCATCCAATTAAACTGTTAAATATATATTTCAAAGAAATCGAAACAAAAATATTAATTGAAGCGAAATTTCAATATTCCAAGGTGATCTAGAATATTTCGAAAATTTTTGATATATTTTCACCAATATTTTTGGAATATTTTGAGATGTTTAAAAATATTTTGGTATATTTTGACTAATATTTTTAAAAATAAATTATTCATTTTTATTAATGAAGAAAAAGAGGAATGAAGTGTTTGGCCCCAAGGAGAGGCTGTCTGATTCTCGGTAAAGGAGCTCAATAGCCGGGGATTGAATCCCACCTTATTTTTGTAATATTTATGTACCAAAATTTTTTTTTTTTGATTATTACATATATAGAAGGTTGAAATAATATTGAATAAATTTAATTTTTAATTAATAAATAAAGATGGAGTGAATTTAATAACTAATAAGTAGGTATAGATTGAATGAACTTAAATAGTTTGAAATAAAAAAAATTAAATCAGGTGGAAAAAAAAGATTTAAAAGGTGGAAATAACCCCATTCAAAATCAAATTACCCTCAAATTTGATTCCTGATATTTTGCTAAACTTACAAAAATGCCCTCTATGCCCATATATTGACTAACACACTACTAGTACCAGAAGAATTATACATTTTCAATTGTGAATTATATATTTTCTGGGAATTTTCGGATTGTATGAATCATTGTACAAAGCATACTCTAGTGGGTTGCCAACCCATCCTAAGGCAAGGAAAATTGGGAACAAGCAAGGCATTCGACTTCTGATCCATTTCTCATCAATGGAAATTTTAACTAATCGAGTGGGCAGGCTACAGAAAGTAATATCCCAATACAAATCCTCAGCAAATGTAACAATAGATGCATCAAGTGTAGTACCAACGAGAATGCAAAATGCCGTGCAAAAGACAAAAGCTTCCACTTCCAATTACAAATTGTTATTGTCTTCCAAACATGGCATGAATTAATTACTTTCATCCCCATATTACTCCATAAATGTAGAACTTCTGTCAACACCTTGATCATAATTCAACATGCCAGGTAGAACATCTCCAACGAGCAAATGAAAGAGATGCAAATTCCGACGGGCACTCCTCCAATAAATATCTAAGAAGATAAACTGAGCGGCGTCTCCATCTCATCTACGAACAGGGTTCCCGCCTCGTGGTGCTGCCTCATAACCACTTCCAGCGAGAGTAGGCATTGTTGCAGATCCATAAAGTGCGTTGTTTGCAGGTGCTACCTGACCTTGAGGTCCAACAGCACCTCTGGATGATGCATCATAGCCAGTTCCCTTTGAGGTATCATAATTGGGTCCTCTCTGTGGATCATAACCTGGTCCTCTTTGTGTCTCATATCCAGGTCCACTCTGTGCATCATAAACGGGTCCTCTCTGTCCATCATAACCAGTAAGTTTATGGGTGTCATAACTGGATCCTCTCTGTACATCATAGCTGGGTCCCCTCTGCGCATCGTAGCCAGGTACCGTCTGGACGTCATATCCAGGTCCCTTCTGTGCATCGTAGCCAGGTGCCCTCTGCACATCGTAGCCGGGTCCCCTCTGCATATCGTAACTGGGTCCTCTATGCACATCATATCCAGGTCCTTTCTGTGCATCATATCCAGGTCCACCGGCTCCTCTCTGCGAATCATAGCTAGGTCCACCAGCTACTCGCTGTATATCATAACCAGGTCCACCAGCAGCTCTTTGTGCATCATAACCAGTGTTAGGTGAGAGTCCAGATTGAGCTCCAACATTAGGAGCACCGCCAAAAGCAGCAGCGGCGGTAGCGGCGGCTCCACCCCCACTACCCCCTGCAGGAAGGGGCCTCTTCCCTGTTATGAATAACACAAGAATACAACCTATATCAGCTTAGACCATCCTGAATAATGATATAGAAGGAAACAGGAGAAGAAAAAGAAAAAGAAGCATGAATTTCGTATTCAAGTGAAATTTGGAATTCCAGTAGCTTGACTTGGTTCACAAAACAATAATTTTTAACCGGCCTCATTCATTTTTAACATCATGTCACATGGCAAATAACAGCTCCTTTTTGGAGCACAGACACATACCATCCGTCCTGAACTTGCATTGCATCATTAGAAGTTATTTATGCACTTCCCTCTGGCTTGTTTCAAGGTCATCTTAGCAGGAGTTTGAAAAAGAAAAAAGGAAAAACTTGTGTGATTCTGCACCGTATTTTGACCACTGATGCTTCAGCATCCATTCTGGACCACCAGTGCGCACTAGAGAGAATCAAAGGAAACCAATGGAAGTATGGAACAAAACGAACCCGAATTCTTGTCTATGCTTTCAAGATTTGTTGCTTCTGTGATAGACCATTTGACCAGAAATGATTCCAACTTCATTGCCTACTTTTTATCTCCTATCCTAAATCCAAATGTGCTGGAATGGGGCGAATTGACCACACTGGCATTGTGGAAAACAATGGGACTGATTCATATATTTAACAAGTTTCTATAGTATCACTGATTCCCCTGTACTCTTCAAGACTTAAAAGATGAACAGGACCATTTTAAGCATCTTCAAGGATAATACTTTAGTTGCTTAATGTTTCTGTGGAAAGTCTAAGTGACCAAATCAACTATGGTTTTCATTTCAGGTAAGCATATTTTCTACCAAAAAAAAAAGAGAGACTAAAAGAGCTACTTGTAGGAAAAAATATACATTGTGAATTTCTAGCTTAATATATAGCAAGTGAAAGAAACTTCAAACTCTAAATTTTGTTCAATTACCACTAAAATCAGAATTCAATTTTTTCCTCGGTGTATTACATATTATTTGGCACTATATCAAGAAACCGATTTGAGTATTGGATTTAGTTATAGATCAACTTCAGCCACTTATTTTAAAAAAATACTCCTATGCAAGTATTTTGTTTAAGTTTCCAAACTATAGCACTCATGAACTTGTTAACCCTTGTATTGTATGGTAATGAAATGAGAAACTCAACTGCAAATTCCATAAAGCTGCAATTTACTGATTAAAAGATTAATAGATGACTCCCATACATCAATGTTAGAAGGGAATGCAAAAAATAAATAGTTTGGATCACACTGTTTGAGATGACTAGCTGAATGAGCTATTTAAGGCTCTTCAACATCCAAAAGCCCTTATAAATTTAATTATTTACATCAATAGCGTGCAGAATGTTGGCCAGGTAAGATATCTTTAGAGACCCAACACTCAAGGTGAGACATTAGTGTTCATGTTAAGTCTGTTCACGAATAGATAACTTGATTCCTCTCTTTGGTAGTTTACTTTTCAGTGAATTAAATTTCAAAGAATTCCAGCATTTTCGCATTATATAGCAAATAAACTAATGATATCTTAAGTTCTTTGGTTTCTTTTAACTCCAGGTAACACAGAGAACTGTAACCATGTGGTCCAAATAAGAACTTATACAAAGCCAATGTCCAAAAGATCACAAACCTGGGAAACACCATAGGCACCTTGTCCAACAGGGTGATGCCCAGTAGCATCATTCTCATCATATCCAGTAGTGCCACCATAAGGCCCACCTAAATTTAGATTGCAACATATGAACTATAAAAAATTACAAAAATTGTCTACGGAATAAAAAGGCAATGAAACTGGCATAAAATGGATACCAGTTCTTCTGTCAAGGTTAGCCGCATTAGCCAACTCTGCACGAAGTTTTTCCACCTCTCTGGCCATGGCCATATAATTCTTCTCCATCACTTGAAGAGATTCAAGATGGTCAGTGTACAATTTCTTCTCATAATCATACGTAATCCTGCACAGATCAAATCACAAAAGTCAAGGCATCCTTCATCTACGACATGAACTTTGACAATGATTAGCAACTTCAAGACTTACAAACAATGAAAACTCTGCATTACGTTTCTAAGGATATTTCAATCAAGTACCACTTTACTAACATCATGCAATTCTGCTCTAAGTGTTTCCTAAAAGACCAGCACCCCTCCTAGGAAAACCTTCTATTGAGTCACTTTTAAAGGATGAAAATAAACCATAAATCCAGAGCCAATCACTACATTGGGCATTCATCATGACGAAACAAAAGTTGACATTAGAAGTCCCTTTTCATATCAGTGCTGCACAACACATAAAAACAGGAAACAAGCACCTGCAATGCTGATACTCTTGTCTGAGGCTCTCGAGTTCTGACATCAGAGCAGGAATCTGCTGCA